GGTTATAGATGTAAAAAATTACCTAGACTGTCTGTTCGTACAGTCTCATTGCATTGAGATAGTTGTAGAATTATCACAGTTCTGTTTCTAATTATTAGTACTGTCCAAATTGGTAAGAGCTTAAAGCTGGGTTGTTGATGTTTAATGTAGTATACTTTGTTAATCACTTATTGTTAAAGAATATGATTGATACCTTTCCACTTTTGTACATTTGTACATGCAGATTTATCTCTCTTTAAAAAAAACATGTATTTCATGTTCAAGTTTACTGCAGGCTTGGTATTTGCGCAACTTGTGTTAATATATTCAAATTGCACTTGTCCCAGGCCTGATTTCTTGGAATACCAGCAGATAAAAGTTAAACTTGACATATTAGTTGTAAGAAATTTGTTCTAATATTGTCTTATAGAGTAGAGTTGAATCTTGTTTTGCACTTTATAAAAACTAATAAATTAAACAAATTTTATAGTGGAAAGCAAAATTAGCACTAGTTGCTTTTGATTTGAAATGCAAGAAACTACTTGTTGTAAATGCTAAGAAATAATCTATTCCTAGAAGACAAATCTCAAGATGAAAAGGATTCGCAAGTGAAATTACAAAATAATGTAGTAAAAATTGTTTAAAGCTGAACAAGAGATATACCTATTTTATTAAGCTAGCTGGATTCGAAAGACTACCAGTACTCTATCAACTCGTAACTTTTTCTATTCCAACGGGATACTGATGAATTTGCTCATTGGATAAATTAATGAAAATGAATGAATGAATTTTATTATGATTGTGCCCTTAAAATGGTTTATTATCATCACACCATACGTTTAAAATTATCCCTACACAATGCACGACTCCCATATATGTTAGTAAAATAAAAATGATACTATTGAACTCTTCCATTTCATCATACTGTTGAGTAAAAACTCATAAAATAAGCTTAAATACAGCTTACTATTTGTAACACAACATGAGCAGAGCTGCTGAATGCAAAAATTCTAAACCATGGTGGACCCATAGCAATATCTGGTGCCAACTCACCTTTCACTAGACAAGATACAATCATCCCCAAGTGCATCCAACCCCCACCTCAGATGGAATGACAAAGCAGGATTTCATCCTGCCCGCAGACAAGTCTGGCCAATAGCACACCAAGTGACCATCAACTTGAGTAATCTGGTACAGAAGCCTATAATCCATGATAATCGATGTATAATCCAATACATGAAACTATTATGAAGAAAATTTATTCAAACAATATCTGAAAGCTTTGTGGCTTTAAATACTTTAGCTCGCTGCTTTTAATAAGGTTTTCCTAAAATTTCACCAAATCTATAAGTTGAAGACGAATAATTAGAAACAGTTCAACAAACAAGATGTTTTCTTAATTAAGTCGCGGAGCATTTTGTGTTAGCGATGAGTATGTGTAGAGATGATTGATAACAGGGTGTAATATCTTTCTCTCGAGGGCTGATTGTAAATGAAGGTCATCTCTTTTTTTTTTTTTTTTTTTTCTTCCACTTCATAGACAATCGCCATTGTAGAAGAAATTCATTCTCATTTTGTGTTACAACAGAAGGTAATGAACCATTTTTATATCGTTTTACATTCATTTCAACTAATAAGTCATTTTTTATCTTTTTACATAATTTTTAATACACTTTTTGCTGATTTCTTCAAATTTTAATATCATTTTGATGGTACTTGCTTCAAACAATATTTACGAGGGGCAACAAATGTTCACTACAGAACTCCTGAGTAGCCTATTAGATTTCTTCGCTCATATAATGTAATGTCGGCTGTTGTGTGTACTATGTAATCTAAGGTTCTACGACACCTATCAAATGCATTTTAAGAGCATATTATTGATAATTTTTTGCAATGTTTTAAGTCCTCAAAATCCACCCCCTACTTATTTCATACTAGACCTCACTACGTTTGCAATTTTAGAATTATCTTCCATTTCAAACAAAATCTGGAACTGAAGAAAATCAATTACAAATTTATTATTAATTAATTTTGCATTACAATAAGCATTTGTCCCAGTTAATTAGTACAAAGTGGTTATCGCACCTTCAGTGGAGACAGTGACCACCAATAATGGAAACGAGCTGGAGCCATCTTTCAACGTTTTCTTTGTGGTATGTTCATGGCTATTCATGAAGTAGGGTGTAGCATATCCTTAAAAATTCTTTCTTCTCTTCCACTTGAATCTTTTTCTTGGAGAATGTGGACTAGTTTCTGATGAACATTGTAAGCACTTTCATTAAACTATTCCTGTCTCTGATAGACTGTAACAGGGAATCTGGAGTACATCCATGCAAACTATTGCTGAACACTACTCAGGGATACACGTGATATCCGTAGCCAACAAAAAGCCAAGTAAAAGCATCTTTAACACGTATAAGTTTTGAATAATGCTACTTGATTCAGGAAAAAGCGAATTTAAAATATTTTCTGCCATAGAACAAGACTATCTGACCAGTTTGTGGTAATTTTAAATTCAGGTCTACAAAATGTATTAATATCAGCATTTTTCTGTATGTAAGAGAAAAAAGTTAAAATTTGCTACATAGTGTACTTTAAAAAAAAGATTGAAGTAAGTTTTTTAAAATGACATTCACAAATTGTAAAAAAATAAAATTTTGTGCCATTTTCATTGCACTGTTTCACTGCAATTTCATGTAGCATGAACTGAAATTACAATTTTAAATGTGTAGACTTATTTCAATATTTATATAGTTATTGTATAATTAACTGAAATGAAATAAATTATATTCTTAGTTCTGCTTTTATTTTTTATTGATTGTAATTTTTGGGTAATAGATATCTTCTTTTTCATCAGGGTGTAAACTACTTCCAGTTTGTTCCATCTTCATGTGGTTTGATCTTGCCACCTCTCCTCATATCTTCCTTTTGTCATACCATTCACAAGATATTGTGTCATTGTCTTAGGGATCTGTCATCAGTCGTTTTTGCCATTTCCTTTCTTTTAATGTTGGTTTTTCCTCTCCTTCCAGTTCTTTTCATGTTTGTTTTGTCTTCTTAATGCTTATGTTCCGTTAGGTAATAGCTTGCGTTCCATCATACACATTCTGCACTGTCAATCCTTTTACTCTCTTCTCCTGCCTCCCTCGTCCTCCCCATATAACAATTTTGGAACCGCCTTGCTAAATTTATAAAATTTAGTCTTGTTTCACATCTTGTCTTGTTAAAATATCTTTTTATTGTCCTCCAAAGCTATTGAAACTTCTGGTTTCCTTTTCTTTCAACATCATGATCTCTTCTATAAGAGATGTTACAGCGGTGATGTGTGAAGTTATTTACTTCTTCAATCGTATTATTGTTGAAAATATTATTTTTCTAATTTGTACATGGCTCTTGAAGACCCTAACCTTTTTGTTGAAGATAAAGGTGAAGTCAAAGATTATATTGCTTTGCAAAAAAGTAAATTGCAAATAGTAAATTAATTAATTAAATTGACGATGATGTAAATCTTCAGAGCTTGCCAACATGATTTAATCATCAGCAAAGAGTGTAATGTTTAGTGATATATTATTACTATAAAATGTCCAGATAGTGTTTCTTGCCATCTTATATGGACATTATCTGTGTAAATATTAAATAATATGGAGGAAAGTTGTCAACTCTGTTTCAGTTTATTTCTATTGTCTCTCCCATCAATGATCTTTATCCATATATTTCAGTAAGTGTTGCACGGTTCTTATGAGATGCTGAGAGAGGCTCTTCTAAATTATTACTAGGCGGTGGATTTTAATGAAATGTCATTTTTTTTCTTTTAATTTTAAAACGGTGCCGTCTTGGGAAGAAATTCATCTCATTTTATGTTACGACAAAATGAAATGACCCATTTTTATATGTAATTTTCTTGCATTTTTCATCGATTGTGACTAATAGTAGTTTTTTATGTCATTCTTAATGCGTTTTCCTGGATGTCATCGATTTCAATATCATTTTAATTGGACTTGATTCAAACAATATTTATGAAGTGCAACAAATTTTCACCACAGAATTCCTGAGTAGCCTATTAGATTTCTTCACTCCTATATAGTATTGTCAGCTGTTGTGAGTACTACATAATCTAAGGTTCCTGTGACACCTATTGGCGCCATTGTCAGTTCGGACGATTTCACGCAAAACAAAGAAAAAAATTTTCTTTTAAAGAAATGTTGAATTGAATTGAATTGAATTTGCCTTATTTTACGTGGCGAGACTCAAACCCAAACCCAAAAGTTCAACCCAAAAGTTCAACCCAAAAGTTTGCAAGCAGAGTTCACTTGAAGAAAAGGTGAAGCCTCGATTACATCAGTACACAAACAGCTTGGCTGTCATCTGAAGTGGTATTGATATTTGTTAGTTTCTGTTGTTTTGTGTTGTTATTATGTGTGGGCGGGGGAGTGGGCATTTTAATAGCATTTTATTGATAATTTTTGGCAATGTTTTAGGTCATCAAAATTCACCTCCTAGTTATTACAATATTCAACTACGAGCAAGTGTAATTACTATTATATATTTTGAAATACTGTAAATTGCGCGATTGCCTGTTATACAAAATAAATAAATAAATATATAATTACTAATAACAATTTCTTATGGATCTAGTACTTGGAGCAACTCTTGTAATATCATAAGGTCTAAAAAAGCATTTCTAATTTTCCATTTGTAGATGAGAAACTAATAAATTGTTTCCCATTATTTTTTTTGTGACCAAAACTTCCAGTAACACTTTGGACTTCCCACTCTTGCCGTTAAATCTTCAGTTAACACGACATACATAGTCGTTTTATTTTTACTATTTGAACATTTTTTGTTTGCTTACACATCTAGCATACTACACAATTTGAACAGTTTCTCATATTTTACTTCTCAATTTCATACATTCCATTCAATTTTATAAAATATACATATCCTGCACATATTTTCAGATTAGCTCTGATGACGATCGCTGTGTGATCAAAAAGATGTTAAATATTAAAAATATTGCTACTAGACAATCTTTTCTCGAATTATTACAAGGTATAAATCTCACCAACAATCTTATTAACTATTTAAAACCTGTTAATTTTCATAGAATTCTAAAACCTCATCATTTCTTCCATTTTCTCGACTGTAGATATACTGATGTATCTTCTTTTATATTTTAGTCTCAATGTTATGTTATTTACAAATAATTTTTATATATCTTAATTGTGTTTTTCCATTGTTCCTTTTGTATTATTGCTATTCCTGTTACTGTATGTTTTTCTCAAGGTTCACCTCTGGAAAAAAGAATGCCTCTAATTCAACAGATCCTTTTAGCTTCTTTTTGTATTTCAGTTTCTATGTTGCTGAGTTCATGTGCATTCATCTACTTTTAATTGAGCCACTATTTCAAAATTTTTGACTTTTTTCTTAACATATACTGTCGTAAATGAACTCCTTGTATCATATTGAAGGTTATGAGTTTCCCTTGGTCAGGCTACCAACACTATGCAAAGTAGTCTGTTGGCCCTCTCTGTACTGGGGCCAAACCTGTATGACAACTTCATGATTACCCCCCCCCCCCACAGCCTTTTTTATGGTTAAGGAGGTGCATAAGTAAAGAGGAATAGCAAAAGAGAGAGAAATGAGATAAAACATGAAAAAGATACGACAATAAAATATAAACAATAAAAGATAAGACAAGAAAGGAATGACTAGCCCTGGAGACTTATAAGACTCAAATAGCATTGTTATCAAAAAACACAAGAGACCTAGAATGGCCTCATAGAACAGATAGGTACAAACTTGGTACAAGAAAGAAAAAGCAATACCTCCCAATGTATGGGTATCTACACTGGCTATCAATACCACAGGTTGGAGTTTGATAAGGATATTTCATATAAATAAAAAAAGTTAATGGTGGGAGACTACCCTTTCTGACTTCTCCATATAAGGCGACCTGGAAGGCAATTTTTGCTTTTTGGTGAATTATTAATCTTTAAAACTTCTACATTTCAATGATGCATTTTATCTGTACATAGTTTCTAAGTATTTTAAGTTAAATAATATGCTGTGCCTGTTATGTACTGTTAATAATGTGAACAGTGTTTCCTAAACTATTAGAGCTAGGGACTTCAAATTTTAGGCATTCTTCATCAAGTCATACTACAACTTCTATCATAACCTTTTTATTATATCTTATTATTTAACCTAGTTATGTACATAATAAAAATGTGGATGTAAATATTTTACATATTAAAAAATAAGGTGGTGTCTCTGCGACAAGAAGATAATAGCATAATGTGCTTAATAAAATTAGCCTAGAAAATTAACATGAAAAATTTTAATTTCTGTGCTGAAAAATCAAAAAGGGTAAAAAAAATTGGAAATTTCAAATGTGCAACTGTTATCGATTCCAAAACATTAAAAGATGGAAAAAGATTCTTACACACGTATATTGAAGATAGTAATTATGTGGGAAACTAAAGTATTATACTATCAGTTTCCAATCTCAATGAGATTTCCTTAACTAATTTAAATTCTGATAATTCTAAATTCAAAGTTATGTTCATAATTTGAGATTGTTAGAGAAAAGTAAAGATTGGAATATGGGTGTTTTTTATTGTAGAGATCTTATTAAATAATAGTTAATGAATACTTTTATTATAAAAAAGCAAACACAAATAATAATTTCTACCTCAAAATGCATATTAACGTAAAATCATTTTGTTAAAAACTACAAAATATTCATTGTGTTTTGGAAGGTAACTACTATACATATCTTTGAAAAGTTTATCTTTGTGATATTTATTGCCTTATCAGAGTGCTTATGTCATTTTTTCTTTTTCTCTAGTGAACAGAATTTCATAGACATTGCCAAGAATGCTACAGTGAATAAGAGCATTTCAAAATATGAAGAAAAATGTCTTAGTAAACTCTATTCAAAATTTCAACAACTTTTGGAAGATGCTATGAAAAGTGACATTGATGAATATATTGAGAAGTCGGGATTTCTGGAAGCACAGGAAACAATTTCAAGAACTATTCCTGATAATATACCTACTTCATCCGCTGCTGCATGGTATTGATTTTAATTATAGAAATCTAATTTTGCACTGTTTTCTTTTTGTTTTGAAAAATAGAAATGATTTGAGATAAGATAGAAAGATTTGTCTTTTTGGGTAAGACATAGGTAAACAATCAACATCATTCAATTTTCAATGAAGTGAACGGGTACACTCCTGAAAATTCACAAATGACTTTTTGTACATTTCTCTGGTGTAGTTCCCAAAATTGGAATTGGGCCATCATATATGATATATATGTATATATGATATATATATGTATATATGTATATATGTATATATGTATATATGTATATATGTATATATGTATATATGT